CGCCTGCGGTGCCCCCGTGGTTCTCCGTTTTCTGACGCCCAAGCCTACGCGCCTTGGTGGACCCGCGTGGGTCTCTGGGAGCGGCGGCCGCAGCGCCGTGCTTGCCTTGGGGATGTTCTCTGAGTGAGGGCCCGGCCCCTGTGGTCCTGCTCCTGGCCCGTGGGCCAGAGGGCTTCCGGTGCCCAAGCGGTGCCACCGGTTACTGGACGAACGCTGCCAGGCTTTCGCAGAGTAGCCAGCTGGTCCTCTGGGGCTTGCTGGCCGCTCCTCTATGAGGTCCAAACACACGCACACACATCATCCCGCGCGCGGGGGAGGCATGGAGACTGAGAAGGGGGATCCGACGGCCCCGTTTGTGGCCGCTTCGGGCCTCTTGGGGACATCTCGGAGCCTCTTGGGGTCTCTCTGTCTCTCTCTATCTTCCTTCTTTATGTTTGCATTGATTCCTATGTTGTTTTCCTGTTTTGATTATCTGTTTTTGCTCTTTCTCTCTCTCCCTCTCCTAAGAGAAGAAGAAGATGACATACAGTGATACTACGAATAACAACAATAATACGTTTTGTAAACCGAGTAGTAATACTATTCCTACAAGTATAACAGGCCACTCTTATTAACGATACCACAGACACTTGAACGAACAAAGATCACAATACGAAGAAAACGTAGAAATACGTTCAAGAAACAACGCGACTCCGCGACTCTGGGTGTGAGGGGGGGGGGCTCCCCCATCCTCCTCCTCCTGCCTCCTCCCCGGAGGAGGAAAGGAGTGGGAGGAGATGGAGATGGCGATGGAGATGGAAAGAAAAGGAGGTGTAGTAGTAGACGAGGAGGAGGAGGAGGAGGAGGAGGAGGAGGAGGAGGAGGAGGAGGAGGGAGGAGGAGGAGAGAGGAGGAGAGGAGGAGAAGGAGCGAGGAGGAGGAGGAGGCGGAGGAGGAGCGAGGAGGAGGAGCGAGCAGGACGAGGAGGAGCGACGAGGAGGGCCGAGGCTCTATTCGCCACCCGCTGCGCCAGGGGCGGGGCGCCCGCCGCCCTGCTGCCTGCAGGCGGCCATCCCTGGCGCGCGCCCGCGGGCCGGCGCGGCCCGCGCTCGGAGGGGGCCCCCTCCCTCGCCCCGTCGGGGTAGGCGAGAGGAGGGGGGAGGAATGGGGGGGACTCGTGATGGAGGAGGAGGCGGCAGGAGGAGGAGGAGGAGGAGGAGGAGGAGGAGCAGGAGGAGAGGAGGAGGAGAAGGAGGAGGAGAGAGGAAGAGAAGCAGGAAGAGGAAGAGGAGGAGGAGGAGGAGAGGAGGAGGGAGGAGGAGGAGGAGGAGGAGGAGGAGGAAGGGAGGAGTGGGAGGAGGAGGAGCAGGAGGGAGGATAAGGTGGGAAAAGGAGGAGGAGGAGGAGGACAAGGCGAGGCGGAAGAGGAGGAGGAGGAAGAGGAGGAGGAGGAGGCCAGGGATCGGGAGAGGTTGAGGAGGTACGTAGATGGCGGAGATGGAAGCGATGAAGGAGGACGACGACGGAGGGGACGGAGGTGCAGAGGCAGGCGGAGGAGGCTTGGGTGGAGAGTGGAGGATGGAAAGCAGAGGATGGAAATTAGATGGATATCGAGGTGGAGTTTGGAAAACAAAGGAGAACGAGGAGGACGGAGTAGGAGAGGGGAATGATGGTGATGCTGATGCTGATGCTGACGATGATGCTGCTGCTGCTGCTGCTGATGATGATGATGATGATGATGATGCTGCTGGTGATGATGGTGATGGTGATGCTGATGATGGTGATGATGTTGATGATGATGATGAGGAGGATGAGTATATGATGATGCTGATGCTGCTGCTGATGATGATGATGCTGATGATGGTGATGATGAAGATGAGATGATGGTGAGGAGGAGGAGGAAAATTGATAATGGAGGAGGTCGGCTGGTAGAGCCGAAGGGCGGCAGATTGTACGGGCTGTCCCAGATAAAGTCTCTCTACCGTTGCTTTCCCCTTTTCCTGGTGGCCGCCGCAGGGGCCCTGGGAATCGCGGGTCCTGGCCCCGCGGGCGGCGGCTCGTAGGAGGTCCCGGGGCCCGCTGACTTTGGTTGTGGCGATTCTTTCGTGGCTGCCCATGGGATCGAGGAAGATCCTCCTCGATCCTCGAGCCTCGATCCCCTCCTCGATCCTCGATGTCCTCGATCCTCCGCCCGCGCGATTGGTGGCTCGGCACCCCGCTGGCTCTCTCAGTTGCAAGTTGCTAGGTGGCCGCCCATGGGGCTCCCGGGCCGTGGCCACATGGTGCACCGCGTACACTGCACCACGCAGAATGCACCAAACATCCTGACGGGCGTGTCTCATACTGCGCCACGTACGTGTTAGCTGGGTTGCACCAAGCAGAGTCCACCGTACATCCGCCACCGTGCCCCCTGGCACGTGGAGGCGTGCTAAAACTGTTTCCGTGAGCTCGATGCAGGGATGATGACAATGGCCAGCTCTCCCACCGAAGGGAAGGGGGCTCCACCATGCGAAGCAACAGCCATGGACAAGAAGGGATGGGAAAAGGAGGAGGAGGAGGAGGAGGAGGAGGAGGAGGAGGAGGAGGAGGAGGAGGAGGAGAAGGAAGAGCAGCATACTCCCATAAGGAAAAACTCGCGATTGGACCACCCGCGCGCGCGCCCCTAAGCGCACGACCGCGGCATGCGGGACCCCCCTCGGAACCATACCGAGTCCCTGGCCAAAATTGCTCTACATAGCGGCACAGACTCGGGAAACCCCGAAGAAGCTAGGCCCGACGGAAGCGAAAGGAGGAGGGAGGAAATGGAGAGAACGGGCACCGAAACAGAGGCTGGCATTAAAGCGGCGGCAGGCAAAACAGGCCCCGAGCCACATAGCCGGGCCGCGAACTGCCACGTAACCTACAGGGCACGGCGGAGGCATATCGAATCCCAGTCCCCCGACGTCATGATTTTTTCATTACGTCGTCCCCTGGAGGTCTCGACCCGTTCCCCTGGACGATTTTTTCATCCTCAGTCGTTTTTTGACGGTCCCGAAAGCCGGTAAGGGCCCCCAGGGGCCGAAAACAGCCAAAAACCTCCCGGCATGATTTCTTCACTACCCGAGGGGTGAGCATGCTACGCATGGAATGAATTCAATGGAAATAAATCGCAATGGATCCGTGAGTGGATCAATCTAGACTGATGAGGCTATGATTCCTCTTTTGATTTTGAGCCGGCATGATGCCCGCTCGTGCCCACCCCGTCCCGTCTTCAGGGACTTCGCATCATCCTATGATGGTAAGATGGGAAGACGGGCCGCCGCCCCTGGCACTGCACGTACGGCGCCAGGTTTGTGGGGATTTGGTTCGACCCCCGCAGTTCCGGTGATGGGAACTGCAAGGGGTGTGAGGCCTCATGGTGGTCCTCACTGGTAAGGCCTATGATGGTCCTCACCAGGGGGGGGGAGGGCAAGGGCGGACCAGGAGGAGGAGGACAGGGAGGAAGAGGAGGACGATGACGGGACAGTTGAGTTCAATGAACAGATTGAGCGCGAAGGCCTATGATGGTCCTTCTTCCCAAAACGAGCCTTGCTGATGGCCCCGAATTGGGTGCGAGGTGCCTATGATGGCCCCTCTGGTTGCCTATGATGGCGGCACTAGACGACCGGCAGGGGACTGGGTCCCGTTCACGGTCCATTAGGGGTGAGCATGCTACGCATGGAATGAATTCAATGGAAATAAATCGCAGTGGATCCGTGAGTGGATCAATCTAGACTGATGAGGCTATGATGCACGTGGAGTGCACGAGTACAGCACAAGTTCGGACACAGCCGCACAGTGGGGGGGGGGGGGCGTGGGCGGCCGCACCGACGTTGGCGCGATCTGCGGGCCTCAGCGTGCGACGCGCGCCGACGGGACGGCGCCAGAGATCCGGCGCGGTGGCCGCCCCCGGGGGGCCGAACGCCTCGCCCCGCCGCCGCCCGGAGGAGGGGAAGGGAGGAGGAGGGGTGGGAGGGGGGGGACCCAGACATCGGGCGTCTCGAAAAAATCGAGACGAGGGTCTTTCGTCGTTTTCGGCCTCTCGGGGCCCTCGCCGGGCCTCGGGACCGTCGAAAAACGACTCGGGATGAAAAACCGGCCCCGGGGAAGTGGTCGGGAGGTTGGGGGCCCACGTCTCGAACAAATCGAGACGTCGGATGTCTGGGAAGAGGGAGGGGAGGGAAAAGGAGGAGGAGGGAGAGGAAGGAGGGGGGAGGCAGTCCCGACCCTGCAAGGGAAAGGAGAAAGGATCCTGAGCAAAGCCTCGGACCCACCTGCAAAGCAAACATGCTAGAATGCTGTGTAGTAGAGCGTTTGTAATCTTCGAAAGGACCCCCCCCGCTCCGGGCCGCGCCTCGTCGCGTGCACTGGTCAATCCTGAAGCTTGAAAAACGCAGCAGATTCAAGTATGGAGGGCAGCCGGGTATCAATAGGCGGCTCTCGCATTAGCGCCGCGCGCATGTTCAACGTTTGCAGTAGCTTTACGGATGGAGGGCGGGTAGGATAGTCAGGACGCAACGGGCATGTTAAAATCACTCGGATGGCTTTCTAGCGCGATTTGGGATTGCCAGGACGCGACTGTCATGTTGACTCGCGGCGTGTACGTCCCGGGAATGGTGCTTTGACGCGAGTGAGGTTCTCAGACTGTTGTTTTCCGATGGGACACTTCCAATAATGAACATATATTACTGTAGAGACCTCTGGCGAAAGATCTTGGGGAGGAAAGGATTATTGCAACATCGTTGATGCGTCTTGTGCTTTACACTGGTCTTCCTCCTCCTCCTCCTGCTTCTCGTCCTCCTTCTCCTCCTCGTTGACATGTTCCTCCTCGTCGTCTTCCTCCTCCTCCTCCTCCTCCTCCTCCTGCTTGTCCTCCTCCTCCTCCTCCTCCTCCTCCTCCGCCTTTACCTTTTCCTCCTCCTCCTCCTCCTCCTCCTCCTCCTCCTCCTCCTTCTCTTCCTCCTCCTCCTCCTCCTCCTTCTCCTCCTCCTCCTCCTCCTCCTCCTCCTCCGACCTCCAACCTCCAACCTCCTCCTCCAACCTTCAACCTCCCCCAACTCTGCCAACTCCCCCTGCGGTCACGGGAGGACCCTCCTCCTGCTGCTCCCCCTGCCGCGGCTCCTCCGCCCTCCTCCTCGCCCTCCTCCTCGCCGCCCCTGCACGAGCGGCCCGCCTTCCAGGGCCGCGCTGACGACGGAGCGCTCCAGCTCCGGCTCCGCGACCGCCCTGGCGCCGCCCCCCCCCTCGTCAGGGATGCGCTGCCCGGTGCGGTCGTGCAGGGGCCCCTCGCCGCGCCCTCGATCGGGTCCTCGCCCTCTCGCCGTCTCCTCGCTGCCCTTGTCATCCTCGTCCTGCTCGCAATTACCTCATCCTCGTCGTCATTCTCTTCATACGCACCGTCGCCCCTCCACCGCTTCCTCCAGCCGTCCTCCTCCTTATCCTCCTTGTCATCCTTATCCTCGAAATCCTCCAAATCCTCCTCCTCCTGCACCGTCTTTTCCTCCTCCGTCCCCTCCATGTTTCCTCCTCCTCCTCCTCCTCCTCCTCCCTCTCCTCCTCCTCCTCCTCCTCCTCCTCCTCCTCCTCCTCCATTTTTCTCCTCCTCCTCCTCCTCCTCCTCCCTTCCTCCTCATCCTTCTGTTCCTCTTCCCGCAAATCTCCCTCCTCCTCCTCCTCCTGCTCCTCCTCCTCTCCTAGTCCTCGTCCTCCTCTTTCTACTCCTCCCCGTCGCCCTCCTCGTCGCCCTCCTCCTTCTCATCCTCCTCTCCCCACGTAGCCGATGTGACTCAATAATCCGCTAACAGCTGCTTCCAGGGCGGCCGTTGTCTTATGCCTTGGGTTGGAGCAAACTCCGATCTCCCCGTGATGGCACCAGAGGCGGCGCTGGCTGGCATGGCAATCGCGCAATGCCTCCTTAGAGCGGCAGTCCAAGCGGGCGCATCGCGCAGGCGGTGGCGGCACTGGCATGCGCGCTGTGGCGCGTGTGCGTCGACGCGCAGCCCAGGGACGACCCCGAAGCCCACGCGGGAATGGACCTCATCGAGCCCGTCCCGTCATCGCCAGGGGGCCAGCAAACGGTATCTTGTCTGCTTCACTCTGCGGACCGCTGCCACCCACGACTTCTCTCGGCGGCGCGCCCCGCCTCCTTCTGAGAAGGTCTGCCCCCTCTTCGGCGGTGGGCAAACCTCCCTGTAGTAAACCTCCGTTTAGTGAAAGCGGCCTAGGACCGAAACCGACGAACCTGGACCCGCAAAAATGACGGCCGCGACGCCCTCTCGCGAACCGAAATCGGCCAATTCACTAATCGACGTGTCAGGGTAGGAGGTCTATCAACCTCCGACCTCTCACTTCCCCCCCTGGGCTCGCCGCCGAATCTGGTCTTCGGGTCCTAGCTCTGGCCTCTGGCGGCCGTCCGGGACGACCATGGACCCCCCCTGGAGCGCGCTCGGCCTGGCGCGGCTGCTGGAAAGCACCCCGAGGCTGGGCAAAAACCCTGGAACCCACGAAGACGCCAGAACACGTCGAGCTTCGATGACAGTTGATGTTTTTGTTCCCTGAAAATTCTTCATGGGTGTAGCGACTTTCCGCGGTGGCCTACGAAAACCGCCGTCGCGGCACGCCACACCGGAGACGAGGGCGCCTACGCGCGACCTTACGCGGGCAACTTGCGCACGAATGTCGGCGCAGACGACCCCGTTCTTTGCGTCGTCAAAGGAGCGACGATCGCAAACGGGTCTCACGCGAGATGGCTGGCATAGCGACACCTTACGCGGTGGCTGAACCCAGGCCGGCAGCGCGGCACGCTACGCTGGAAGCGAGGTCGCTTGCGCGCACCCTTACGCGGGCAGTTTACGCGCCAATGTCGGTGACGATAGCCCCGTTTTTCGGCGCGCTCAAATGGTCCACGACAGCCAGGGGCCGGTCAGCAAGCGGCGGGGTGCTCTGGGGGCGAACTGAGACACGAAGGGGCCTCGGGGCAGGGAAACAAACAATGGCATAAACATAAAAGCTGTGGGGTCCGCGCGGGTTGCTCGGATCGGCGCCAGGGGCCCCTGCGCGCCAGGGGGGGGCCCAACGCCGATCCGAATCCGCGCGGACCTCCGCGTTCTTATCTTCATGTCGCTGCTTGTTCCCCGAAAGAAGGAAATGTTCGCGGCGAGCCCACGGGGGGAGATCGAGGGCTCTGGAAGTTCGTTGGTGCTGGCACGTGTTCTGGCGATTTCGTGGGCTCCCGGAAGCTTCCCAGCCTCGGGGTGTTTTCTAGCAGCCGCGCCTCGCCAAACGCGTTCGGATCGTGCCGAGCGGCCGCCGGGGAACAGGACCCAACCGAGCGACCGAGCGGGCAGGCATGGGAGCTGCGCCCAGCGCTCAGCGCAGCGCTTCGTGGTCCCGTGGAGAGCCCCACCCGAAGGTCCCAGTGGCGGAACTCGCATGCGGTCCCTGCGCCCAGTACAGCGCTTCGTGGCCCCATAGGGAACTCCACCACGGTCGTGAACTTTTGCCGCCAGCCTGGGGCACCCCCCGCCTAGCGCGCCTAGCGCGCCAGCTCGTCCGCCGGCGCCGCCGGGGAAGCCGGCGAGGTCTCGCGCCCGAGGGCGGCGCAGGGCTGGCGCGCCGTGACGCAGTGCAGCGCCGCGCTCAGCTCGGAGCCCCAACGGGCGGCGAGCGCGCTGGCGGCGGCGGCGGCGGCCGCCGGCCCGTCGCTCAGCAGTTGGGCGCGCCCGCGCGCCAGCCAGCGCCAGTGTTTCTGAACCGCCAGACCCGGTGGCGCCTGGCCGTTTCCAGCGCGAACAGCACGGCCGGCGGGGTACCGGCCTCTCTTGTTGTCCGTCCCCTCCCGAGCCACGGCGCTGTCCGCGCCGCGGCCAGGGCGCGGGCCTTGCCCGGCACGCTGTAGCGGACTGTGACACCGCTAGCCGCTAGCAGCCGCGAGCAGCCTGCCCGCTGCGCCGCCTCTTCGCGGCGGGCCTGCAGCGCGTCCCCACAGGCCTGGCAGGGCCGCGCAGGCGGGGCGTCGGCGTGGCCGCGCGCCGCGCAGCCGGGCGCCGTGCACGCCCAGCGCCAGCGGTTCCAAGCCGGCACGTGGACCTGGCGCGCTGTCTGGAAGCCGCACTCGGCGTCGGCGCGAATGCGCTCCCAGACGTCCTCGACGTCCTGGCTGTGCGCTTTCAGGCCTCCTTCGCAGGCGAGGCGTGGTGCGCTTTGCTGCGGAGGAGCTGGCCGCCAGGCTGTCTGGCGCGCGCGCTCGTGGCAGCGGCCGTTGGGCGGCGCGAAGTCTCGGCCGAGCAATGCGCGCGCCGTGTCGAGGCAGTCGTCGTCCTCCAGGCGCCGCCCTGGCCTGCCGTTCGCCAGGTGCCAACCGGCCGCGTGGGCGCCGCCGCAAGAGCGGAGTCGTGCCTGGTCCTCGGGGTCCAATTTGCTCAGCAAGGCGTTGTGGCTCTTTTTGTCCTCCTCCTCCTCCTCTTTCTCCTCTCTTCGTCTTGCTCTTACTCTCTCCATCACCGTCATCATGCTCCTCCTCCTGATCCCTCCTCCTCCTCCTCTTCCTCCTCGTCCTCCTCTTCCTCCTCTTCCTTCTCATCCTCCTCACCACCGCCCGTCCCTCCCCCGACAATTCCCTGCGTCCCTCCCCTCCTCGGGATTGGTGGAAGGGGGGTGGACTTCCCCCGCCGCCCCCCCCTCCCTGGAGGAGGAAGAAGGAAGAGCCCTTTCTCCCCCCCCCCCCCCGAGGGATCACGGAGAGGAGGGGCAGGAGGAAAGGCTGGTATCCGGCTGGGCCGCGAAGAACGCTGTGGGAATCGTCACTGCAATACCTACGGTGTGGCAGGAGGCAGGAGGTGGAGGAGGGCGGGCCCGACCCCCAAGGGGGGGGGGACGTCGATCTGGAATCCGCGAGGCGTCGCCGACAGATCGTCGACGGGCCCCCCAGCAGCGGAACCGCGCGCTGCTGGGTGGGGTGGGCCATCGGGCCACCATCGGCGACGAATGGGCGATGGCGGGTCGATGCATCCCCCCCCCGAGACGTGCGACGTCCTGATTCTTTCAGGACGGCGTCCCCGGAGGCCCCGGCCCCTTCACCGGGACCGGCTCTTCGCCCTGACTGGTTTTTTCCCGGTCCTGAGGCCCGGCGAGGGCCCCCCCAGGGCCGAACATAGCAAAAAACCTCCCGTCATGTTTTTTGTCTTTCTTTTTTATATTACGACGCGATCCTGCCTGGCCCCCCCCCGCCCCAGAACCCCCCCCCCTCACGTGAAGTTGCCCCCAGCTGGCTTCCGGGAACTGGCTCGGGCCTCCGGCGGCCGGGTCGAGACCCTCCATGGCACCCCGAGAGCGCCGCCGGCGAGGCGCGGCTGAGGGGATGGCATCCCGGGGCGGGCACACCCCCAGCAGTGGCTGAAGCTAAACGGTGTTTCTCGTTTTCGTTTTGTTCTCGTTTTCCCTCGCGTTTGTCTCGAACCCGCCATTCCCGCAAAACGAGATCGAAACGACAACGGCCCACGAAATCGCCAAAAACACCGTTGTTTAGGTCCAGCCCTGACCCCCAGGGATCGACGAGACCGTCCGAAAGCCTCCCTCTCCAAACTTCGAAGGGCCTTTGCCCCCCCACCCTCAGCCTGTCGACGCGCCTTCTGGATGGGTTCCGAGTCGAAGGGGTAAAGATATCGCGCCGCATCGCCAGCGCATCGCCAACGCATCGGCGGTGCATCGGCGATGCATCGGCGACGCCTGCGATGCATCGGCGCCGTCGCTGGAGAACATCGTGCTCCGCATCGAGCCGCATCGCCGATGCATCGTCGATGCGCCGCGATCCTCCGACCCCAGCAACTCCGACCCCATCTTGGAGGCCTAAATTACCCCCCTGGCATTGCCCTTGGATTCCCCTCCTCGCGACGGCCAGCCAAGCCAAGCGCTGCAGGCCGTCCAGCCGCGCCCACCGCGCGGAGGGCGACTCCGCGGGCCCGCTGGGGCAGCCGGCGTGCTCCTCGCCGTATGTCGGCGGGTCCTCGCCAGGGAGCGGAGCAGGGCCAATTTTTCTTCTTCGAGTCGGACATGACCCATTGTTCGCCCATGTGCAAGATTGCGCAGGGGAGGGGGGAGGGGGAAGGGAAGACGGAAGGAAAAGGAGGAAGATGAAATGGAAAAGGAGGAGAAGGGAGGAGGACAACGAAGACAAGGAGAAGGGAAGGAGAAGGGAAGGAAAAGGGGGGAAGACAACGAAAAGCGAGGAAGACAAGGAAAGGGGGGGGAATCGGGAGGAAGACAAGGAGGAATAGAGAGGACGACAAGGGAGAGGGTGAGTTGAGCCAACGGCAGTTGGACTTCGGAGGGACCCGCCGCCGCCACGGCCGGACGCAGCTCGGGACACTGGTGCGTTGGGACCCCGGGAGGACTCTGGGCTGCCGCTGTCTCAACTCGCTCAGCTCCGAGGGGAGGATGACTTCAGGCCACCAAGGATAAACGAGCGCGTTCCACTACTCGCAAAGCAACTACTCGCAAATGGCCTGGATCCGCCGCGGCGGATCTACGACAAGTTACATCGAAGTAGGCATGTGCTTTTTCGGACGTTTGCGAGTAGGCACTTTGCGAGTAGTGGAACGCGCTCGGTGAAAAGAACGACGTCCCCGCCGTCGTCCCCGGCCTCGGGGGACGACGACGGCGACCGCGGGGACGACGACTCGGAGGAAGAGAATGTACCGATACCGCTACCCCTTGGCTCGTTTTCGCCTTCCTGGGCCTTCTGGGAGGCCCTCGTCGTCACGGCTGGATTCGACTCGGAATCCTGGTCAGAACGCGCCCTGGGAGAGGTCCAGGGAGTGGCGATCTCGGTATCTCCTGGTTTCCCATACGACAGCCGACGACGACGGCGACAGCGAACGACGGCGTCGGCGAAGACCTGAAGCAAGATGCAGATGCAGACTTGAATCCCTCCCTTGGCGGGTGCGCCAGGATGGCCGGAGCAGATAACGATACCTCGAGACACGTGCCGCAGCATGGCTCCGACGCGATGCACGCGACGGCCGAGAAACACTGAGCCACGATGGTACCTGGCCGCAAAATTGATTTCTGACGTCATGGGGCGAGGAGAAGCGCTGCTTGGCGAACGTCCAGTATGGACCACTGCTAGACCAATGCTGGCGCATTTGAGAATCGATCGGCTCGCCAAGGTCGACAATCGGCACAAAAGCACTGGAAGTATTTATCACAAGAAGCTTGCTGAGCCACCCAGCTCTTCGATGCGCATGACAGACGAAGATATCAAGAATGCCAGAAAGCATGTGAGGCAAAATCAATCGGCAGAATATCGAAAACAAGCCCATGTGGTATGTCCCTCTGGCCGCATCATGCAAGCTGTTATGTGGGATATGCAACCCCAACGTGCGAATCTCGATTAGATCACTCACAAGATTCAAATTCTCTCGCGATCGAAGAGGAGGAGGTTGCCCTCGGGCCACCAGATCGCGCTGAACAGACACAGGACGCCCGTCGCAAATAATTTGCCCAACTCCGCTCGTGCCGCAGCCCCTAAGACCCCGAACAAACTCCACCTTCGCACTGCATCCGTGATGCAGATGAAGGCCCCCCTCGAAAAATGCATCCGCTGGGCATGCCACACCCGTAGAAAGAAGCATGATACAAACCGCAGGGCCACATCAGCGGTGCGCGTGTGCTGCTACCCCCGAGTGAACTCCAGCGCGATCACGAGCACAGCGTGGGAGCATGGGCGCATGTGATGGTGTCGTACGCAATCCGTGCTTGTGTCGGCCCCAGGGAAGCTGACCTTACAGCACCCGGGTGCAGAACTATACCAGAGAGACGCAGAGAACGTGCAGCGCAACTGCACGTGGGCCAGGCAACGCTGATAGAAACGCTTCCTTTGGGACAGATGTGTTATCAACAAATGTGAGGTTACTGTAAGGTCACTGGGATATCACATCAACTGGCCTCGCGTCTATGGACAAACCGCGTGATGGTCGACTGCGCAGATCTTCACACCCGCTTCTCCAGAGCAGTCCACCCGTATTGTAGCTCCATCAACATTTATGCTCGAATGATAAGATCAGCTGGAAGGAAAACGCTGCCCAGCGAGCAGGGCAACTTTTATTCACTCGGCAGACAAAAAGGTGCTGACTGCTGCTGAGAACTGACGCTCAGTTCGTCGGCGATGTATTTGACACCGCCATCATGCATGAGACAAACACTATCGACCACCAACGCAACTTCTTTGCTGCGCCACCAATAAAGCATGTGACCACGAACGATGCTCGTTGTCACTGTTGCAAAAATGGTATGCCCTGGTCTTCCTTACCCAAGTGAATTTGAAAATTCCCTCTCTGGCCAATTTGCATGTTTCGAATAACAATGCCACATATTCGACGTCGCGCACAATGAAATATCTTGAAAGATCACGACCGGAGCCCAGGGCCATGGACCCAATAACCCCTCGAATGGCACGGAGAAATCAGTGGACCCTCCCGTGCAAAATCCATCAGGTCCCAGCGTCATTTTTTTCTCGCATCGAGCGTGTTCGCCCAGTTTCGGGTCCAAGAGACATTACATAACGATGTGTTGTCACACGTATGGATACACGTACTAATGTATATATATATATATATATATATATAGATATGTGCTTTCCAGAGTAGGCCCCGCACAATGTTTCTAGTAATGCATGCTCTGCATTCTATGTGGGGCAATCTATGTTGTGCAATCTGCAGTAAGCCATACATGTGATGAAATCTATGTGGTGCAAGATACGTTGTCCACCCTACGTGGTGCAATACACGTTGTACGTAAGCCTCTGGCGCAATCTCTGCAGCCCAGTATCGGTTGTGCAAGCCATGTGGGTGCAGTCTTAGCGGTACAGTACGTACGCACATCAATGTGTACAGCTACATGTATATATGTATATATATATATACACATGTAAGTATATATTCACCTGTCGTTATATATATATATATATATGATCCTTGTTCTGGCTGGGACAAGGAAACCATCTGTTTGACGTCGGATAGCAGCAGGCCAGGAGGGCCGCGGCGAGGGACGGCGAACAACAGTGTAAGGGCTGGCCAGCTCCACCCATGTTATGGGAAGTTGGAAATTTAAGGAGGTTGAAACAGCGAAACGAACATTAGCCTGGCGAAAGACCCAACCAGACACAGATGTGAGTACCGCAATTGTGAATACCATCTTCGCCCACGCTCCCTATGTGGCCACGGCTTCCCGCCGGAGCCCGACATGCTCAGGGACACGTTCGCGGCCGTTTTCGCGGGCGCCGACGACGACGAGGACGGCGCCCCCCTGACCGAGGAGCAGAAGCAGGAGAGGGCTCTGAGAGCCATAAGGAAGTTGCCGCTGGTGCCTTCGGTGGAGCACCTATGGGGCCACGGTCCTCGTGAGAGGGGTGCCGAAATGGCCCGAGGCCGCTATGCGAACCCTGCCGCTGGCGCCTTCGGTGGAGCTCCCTATGGGGCCACGATCCTCGTGATGGGGTGTGCCGAAATGGGCCGAGGCCGCCATGCGAACCCTGCCACTGGCGCCTTCGGTGGAACTCCTAAAGGGGCCACGATCTTCGTCATGGGTGTGCCGAAACGGCCCGAGGCCGCCATGCGAACCTTGCCACTGCCGCCTTCGGTGGAGCTCCCTTTGGGGCCACGATCCTCGTGATGGGGTGTGCCGAAATGGGCCGAGGCCGCCATGCGAACCCTGCCACTGGCGCCTTCGGTGGAGCTCGGCCACGATGCGGGGTGTGTCGAAATCGCCCGAGGATGCCATGCGAACCCTGCCACCGGGGCCTTTGGTGGAGCTCCCTATGGGGCCGTGCGAGTTCCGCCACTGGGACCTTAGGTGGAGCTCCCTATGGGGCCACGAAGCGTGTGATGGGTGTGCCGAATGGGTGCGGGACCGCATGCGAGGTCCGCCACTGGGACCGTAGTTGCAGCTCCCTATGGGGCCACGAAGCGCTGCACTGGGCGCGCGAAGCGCAGGGCGTTTGGGGGAGAAGAAGAGGAAGGAGGAAGGAAGAGACGCGCCGCGCCGTCTCTTCAAAACGAGGACCCAGCACCACAGGATGGTTGGGAATAAGAAAGAGAGAGAGAGAGAGAGAGAGAGAGAGAGAGAGAGAGAGACAGAGACAGAGAGAGAGAGAGAGAGCGAGAGAAAGAGAGAGAGAAAGAGAGAGAAAGAGAGAGAAAGAGAAAGAGAGAGAACCCAAATTACGTCCTGCGTGAGCGAACGCATCGAAGATGATCGTCGGAAGTCAAGGAGGTGGGCGAATTTGCTGGGATAGGCTTTATTTAGGGCCTCCAGTTGAATGATGCAAGAACGCCCCTTCCCTGGGTTACAAGTGCGTGGTCCGCAAACCTCTTGGGAGCTCCAAGGCCAGAGAGCCGCCAGGACGCCGCGCGACGCGCGCGATATGCAGGGTTTACCCTGTCAGCCCACAGGAGGTTCAGCGCACAGCGCCTCGTAAACCAGGGCAGGGGCGCTTTTAACGCCATTGATCCAGGGGCCTCGCGTGACAGCCTGGCGCGGGCTTTCGCGGCGCGGCTACAAATTCAACATCGGGGGTGGCAGCGGCGAGCTCCGCTCTGGACCAGGGACTTGTCGATGAAAGCGAGCCGGATAGCGGTGGGCTTTTTCCAAGAGGCCCCCCTCTGGCACAGATCGGTGATAACCATGCTGCTATTCTTATTGGACGTGAAATGGATAACCTCTGGCAGCTTCGAGAGCAGGCTGGTCTGCGGGTTCTCCAACGCGAAAGTACCCTTTCGAGATCAGCAGAGACGCGCAATCCCCCAGCGTAGCGCGCAGCGCTGATTTCGCTCGCGCCAGCTGAGGGCGGCCTTCAGCATCGGGCGCGCCCCGTGGAGAGATAGCGAGCAGGGCTGGGCGGCGAGCTACGCTGAAAGTCGCGCAAATTGGTGCCATCATCGCACAATCGAAGGAATGATCACGGATCTTCCAGAGCAGCCTACACAGGGCGCGCTTGTCTGAAATATC